CACTACCAGAAGCTAATGAATTTCCATCAGGAGAGAAACAGACCGAGTTGATACAATCATCATGACCATCCAATTATTATAAATCCTTTATTTTTAATTATTACCAATTACATCCAAATAATTAAGCTCCATTCAAATTAATTCCATTGATGTTCACATTTACAAATTAAGACTTAGATAAATTACTTTTAGCAAAATTACCTCCAAAAATATTAGTATTTTATATTCTTATTTTTTCAAAATTATAGTTTGTTAGATCCACCTACATTTCAACCAATAAATTAATTGCATTAGACCCACTTATTATAAATTTATTATCTATCTTAGTGAGATGAACTAAGAATTTCAATAATTCTATTATCCTAACCTCTATATTTTTGAAATGAGGTATTATCTAGTTCCAGTGTATATTTCAGCGGAATAATTAATAGAATTAAAATCATGCATTATAATGATTTTGATTAAACAAATAATTTACATAATCGTCTAATCAAAATCATATAATTATTTTTGTTTTTCCAAAAAAGTTGAATTTCCAATGTAATGATAATTCTAGGCATATTTATACTAGAGATTTTGTAGAAACTTTATGCAATCCTAATTTTGATTCTATTCTTTTGACAATATTTCTATTATAATATTCAATATTTATGTATCAATATTTTTTGATTGAACTAAAACCTCATATAAATCAGCTGCAACCAAGAACTCTTAAATTGATTTATGGGTAAATTAATAATTAGCACCTTTTTATTAGACAAGTGAGCAACTTCTGATATCTTTTTTATAAGCTCCGTTGTAATCATCATAATTAAAAAATTCATTAAGCCATTGTTCCTCTGTTCTAGCATTTTAATATAAAAATCCTTGCTACTTATATTAAACTTAAGTCAGTTGATTATTACTCATTATTTTTGCAAATCTAATTGAGTATTCTAATAGATCATGCATAAAACGATCCGTATCTATAGATTTTCCTAAGTTTCTGCGTTTTTCAATTTATTTCAAGTGGTAATAATTGATAAATTCACAATAACAGTCATAAATTGTAAGATTGTATTCTTTTAATGCATCATAAGCAAATTATATTATTTCTTCCTATTAAATTTTTATATTCTTTAATAGCAAAAGATTATTTTCTAATTTTCTTTAAAGTTAATTATGCACTTCTACAGATTCTTAAGAGATTTACAATTATTAAGGAATCAAACTTTCTTCCAAAATATTCCAAACTTCAGAAGCAATTAAATGGTAATCAATCATTTCCAAGTTCTATAAATCGTTATGAGTAACTTCCAAGAATTCATCATAATCAACTTAAATTTGTGTTTCAGATACTTTATTAACTTCATTTATTGACTCATAAAAATGCCTTTTTTGTTGTGATTTAAACATTTGAATTCTGTATTTACTTATGTAGAATTCTTCCAACATATTTGAAAAATTCTTCAAGAAGGTTTATTTAATGTTAATAATCTCTGTTGCTTTAAGAATCATGTTGGGCAACACTTACACTATAATTTCCATCATATATGGAGTTTCCACTAATTTATTTCGATCTATCGATCTCATCATTTCTTCATACTTCTTAAAACTCCATTATTTTTGTAAATTTATGCTCAAGCTTCTACTAGCTTCAATACTTTTTAAAGCGATTAACTCATCATCCTTCAAAAATTATACAATACTGTTTATTTATTATTCATCCATAAGAGTTTCTGATTTCCACCTTGCTTCATCAAATTAAAAAAATTATGACTATATCTTTTCCCAACTCTGTTCAAACCTTTTAAAATCCATAGCTTTTTGGTTTTAAGTTGAGAATTACCATTCATGTATATCAAAAATTAACATTTTAATACTTTAAATCGTAAATTTCTTAAGATATTCTTATTTTTAACTCTATTCAAACTGAAGTAGCTAGATTTCTTTAAATTTCTATTTCTCTTCCGGCGCAAACCAGTCGGCATAATTGCTGCTTGTAAAAATGTCACTTCTGGTGGTAAAAATAACAAGAGGGTCTGACCAGTTCTAATTAAGTTTATTATTAATATATAAATTTTTCTAAATATTCTCCAACTTCATCTCATCGTAACTATCCATTATTAATAATAATCTGAATTGTTTGTTCACTAACATCTCTTTACATTCTTTCAATTAGAGCTCATCAAAACCATACTCGTCTTGATGAAGTGCTTCCTCTACTGCTTAAAAAACAGGATTTTTTAAAGAAGGTAATGAAATATAAATAGGTATTAGAATTTTATTACTGATTTTTTCATTAATGTTGTGTAATTCCCAAATAAATTCTTCTATTTTCTTAGCTGCAGTACTTTTGCCTGATCCAGCTACCCCATGAATCAATAATACTGTTTCTTTATCATCTAATAAAAACTCATTCACTTATCCTTTTTTATCATATAAATTTTTCAAATTCATCAAAATACTCTTCTATTCATTCTTTTCCCCTCTCTAAAAAATCTCCATGGTTTATAATGGCACATATATAGACCTAACATTTTTTTTTGCTGCTTCAGTCAATACTTTCGATTTTCTAATTTCAAAAAGTTCTTAAACAGATTTTCCTCTTAGAAATTTGATGTCATTACCCAAGCTGTTTAGCTATTTATTCATCTCATTTATTTTTCCCTCAACTCTTATCAAGCCTTTTCTGATATGGTTAACGAAGTCAGTTCTTAAATTAAGTTATTAACTCATTTCACAAATATTTTGAATGTATTTATCTAATTACGATATTGTTTCATCCATTTCTTTCAGTTGTATGTCGCGTTTGCTAAGATTAGCCTCACGAGAAATTTATTCTTACAATTATTCAACTCTCCTTAAATTTTATTACATTTCCCCTGCAATTCTATTATGTTAAGTCTACCAATCTTACGACAAGATCTACATTTACATCTTGATCAAGTGCTAATTTTTTAGTATATTTCTCACTCTTTAATCTTTTTCTTCAATCCAGAAGAAAATTAGAGCTTTCTAACAAAATACAATAATTGTATCTATGAAACAATTAGATGAAATCTAAATAATTGTAATAACAAGACTCTATTTAATTTTCCATTCGTCATTATTTATAAAATCTTGATATTTTTGATTCAAAGCATTCAATAAACTGAATTATTTAATTGATTCAACTTCATCACTTTCTTCCTCTTCATCTCCTTATAAATAAATGTTTGTTATTTATTTAATTAGTTTATCTTAACTAATAATAACTTCTTAGGATACACATTTTGAATCTATCAAAATTTTTTGTATTTCAGCCTTTATGTTATTCAGAAAATCAAAAATATTGGTTTATTCTGCGATATTTCTATCATCTTTTTAATCCTGACATTCTAATAAAATTGTAATTCTTTCAAAATATTCTTTAAAATCTTCACGTTGAATTTATTTTAAATCAGCTGTGGTATAAAGAGATTATTCAAATTTATTAACTTAATCTTAGAGAAATTTAAGAAAAAAATTATGCATTTGTGCTTAAATTTCCTTTTTATAATCCTGAATTAGAAAAAAGTCATTTCTAAACTTTTGAACTTCTTCAAGTAATTGTGTCAATTGTTGCTTCGATTCTGCTATTTTTTTCTCTGTTATTTTTACTACATTAATGATGATTTATAAATGAGTTTGATATTTTTTATCTGAAAGATTTATGAGGTTGTCTTCAATCATTTATTAATCCTTAAGAGCAATTTAATTTTTTTCATATTTTTAATTATCTTATTAATTAGAAGAAGATTTATGGAAATTCCTTTCTTCTTCTTTTTTCTCTTTTTCATCATAATTATTTTATTTTATTTAATCTTGTAATATTTTTAAGTCATTTAAAAAATCTACAATAGGTATTTTAAAAAGTTTTACATTTTTTTTTAATGAATTCCTCATTACTATTACAACTTTGTCGATTTGATTGATAAATTATTTGAAACGTTCTATATTGTTACTATTTTTATTTTTCTCAACCATCCTTAATTATTACTAAAAATTCTCATATTTTTCTATCTCTATCATCAATTATGATTGATTAAATTTTTCATCAGCCACATTTTAAATTGATTCACCTATTGATATATCTTCAATAGTCTTCTTTATTCTTTCAATAATTGAAGTTGAAATCGATTATTCAATAAATAATTCTCCAAATTCCTTCTGAATCAACTCTAAATCTTTTTTTTCGGATTGAATAATTTACTCATTTATACTTAATTGAAATATTAAGTAATCTATTGTTCCTTAATACTTAGATAAATTATTTTACAAGTCTTCCTCAGTGACTTTCAATGTTATTAATTCAGGTATTATTTATTTTTAATATTAGTTGTGATAGACAATTAATTTTTGGGGATAATTAATTGTTACATCAAGTAGAAAATCGTCCAAATTGATAACATCTTTTAACTATTAAAATTCTTCTGATGGTATTGTTAATGTATTTTAAAAGCATTCTTTGAAAACAATTAATTGTAATTTAAGCTTTAACATGTTCAATCTTTATTTTTGTATACATTAAAATGAAAGCTTTTAAGAATATTGTGATTTAATTTCTTTTAATTTTTCAGGTTAAGAAACAGACTCTATTTCATATTGTAAAATTAGAATCGCCTTAAAACTATCAATTAATTCATTATAGTATTTTTCAAGTTCTTAGATCTAATGTTCATAATACAAATATAGGTTATTCAATAAACTTTGAAAGTATTTAACTAAGCTTTCCTTTTGAATTAACAAAACTTCTAGCTCTGAGACTTTACTTTCAGTTTGTTGAATAAGTTTTAACATGCATTGAGCTTCTTTCTAAAAACCTCTCTTGTTAAGAGTTGCACTAGGTAAGGCAAGTAGCTTCTACTTAAACTTATTCACATCTGAAGATTATTTATCTGTAAAATTTAAATTTTATAATTTCTTCTAAATATGTTCTATCTCTTACTAAAGCATTATGCTTTCATCAGGTTCATTTCTATTATCTTTAATATCTTAAATTGCTTATAATAATATTTATTCTAATAGTCTCATAATATATTTAAGTTATTAAAACAAAATGAATTCATTAATTTTTTTCTATTTAATTTCTTCTATCTCACAATGTTATTTCCTTTAACTAAGCCTAATAATTTTAATGATTTTTAGAGTGTTTTAGAAATATTCTTTGTAGTTGAAAACCATTTTTTTTAATTATGAATTATATGTGGCTTTTTCTATTGTGATATCAAAATACATATTTCTTTCGAAAAAAAATTTTTAATTTTTAACTATAACTCCCAATCTCTCATCATTTTCTTTAATTAAAGCTAGTAATTTCTTCGATATGATGAAATCAAAAAATTGTTAAATTTTGCAAATTGTCTGGGTATTTACATTTTTTTATGGTTCCATACTTCCTAATTTACATTTTAGATAAGAGCCAAATGTGAAATAGATGTTATCATTTTTTTAATTCATTAAGTAATCTTTAAGTACCATGAGGTTTTCCCATTCTTTGAAAGTGCCTTGTAGTATTAATTTATCAATTTAAGTTAATTCTTTATTTTTAAATTAATTAAGTAAAATTATAGCCTAGTCATTGCTATGATTCATTTGAATTAGAAACCCTTTGTTCAGATATTCCTTCCAAATCTACATTGATTTGGCTCCAAAATTTAAAGAGCTAGTCAACTATTTTAATTTTTTTTTTGTTATAAGAGGATTATATAATAAGATTTTTACAATCATCTAAATCCACAAAAAATGATTTTTCCAATAACTAGAATTTTTAACAAGTTTTTCATGTGTTTTCTAAATATATAAGATTATTTCTTCCAAATTCTGTTAGAGGTCATATTTTAAATAATTTATGATCTCCCATTATAACATGTCTAAATAAAAATACACTTCAAATTCTTTTCTATTTTTTTTAATTGTATACATATTGTGAATTTAGCAGATTGCCTTAAATAAGGATTCAAGTAATTCAGAATTAGGTTTCATTTAAATTAAAGAACCAAATATACCATTTACAAATCCTTTTATAATATCTTCCCTTTCATTACTGTTATTTGGAGTCATTTCGAAAGAAGTTTTTGTTAAGAAAAGAAAAAATTCCATTTAAATTTAAATCAAATCATTCTTCTCTATTTCCATTGATTATTTTAAATCATTCGAGATATCTAGAAATTCCTTTTATAATTCAATTTTCATTATTCTATCCCTGTTCATTACATGGAAACTAAATATGACTTTAGATAGAGATGCTGTAATCTATAAGATATACAAACATTTAAATTAGTCTGTTCTAATATATATCAAACAGCTTTTCAATAATTTTCGGATTCCCTCTACAATCAGGTTGTATGATTTTGTGATATTTTAGGGATTCTTATTGAGTTTGTATATATTTTCCTCTTAAAAAATAAACCATTGTATGGCTATCATTATTTCTTAAGATTCTAACGAATTGATAGCAACATTAGCTTTAGCACAAATTATTTCAACAAAAGATTCAAATTTGGTAATGAAATTTTCTATATCTTAAATATCTGACTTTAAGTTTGCTTATGTTCTTGAAATCATTCTAAAAGTTCCACAACCACCTCCCCGTAATGAAGATCTTGTCTTATTGATTGAGGCTAGCATTTTGTAATTAATTTTAATTAATAAATCCATACCGGTATAAAAATTATTATAAACTTATATTAATTAATACTGAATAATTATAAGAAATGATAAAAAAAAAATTTTGTGTTATCAAATGCAATTAATATTTTTACAGAAATTTTTTTTATTTTAATTTCTAAACTCAATTACTTTTTAAGTCAATAGTTTAGAAGATCAGCCCATTGCATTAGAGGCTAAAAGGTTTGGACTTGTCAAATTTCAGGCTCAACAACTGGGTTTAAAAAATCCTCCCTTCTAACACAGTAAAAGGTACTAAAAAAATTGAGTTTGAAAGTTGAAGGAGTGCTAATAATGTCTGAACCACATGAAAATTTCTATATTCTGCTTTCAATCTGAATAATCAATTTGAAAAGTAAACTGCTTCTGGAAAATAAAAAATTTCTCTGTTTTCAAGCATGTACGAAGACTTTATGAAATATCACCTTTCTCATTGTTTTTTTTAGTAAAACAATATCGCCAGATTAGCAGACTTTTATTTAGGTAAAACTTATAAAATTCATAGATTATTGATGATAATTTCTTAGTTATTAATTGATTTATAATTTGATCTTTAATTTTCTTAAAGATTTGTCAGAATAAATAGTGAATAATAAAAAGAAAAGTTCAAGGTAGATTTGGCGGGAGATGTAATTCAAAAGGGACAAAAATTGTCTAATCTTTATGTTTTAACCATTATTAACAAATGTATCTATTGAATACATTTTCCTGTAATTTGTCCTTCTTTGTTTACTGAAAAAATTCATTAATAATTTGGGGTATTGTAATTGAAGATATATTTACCCTAAAATATTGCTTAAATTTTACCTCAAATGAAATCTCCTGTTCTAATGATAATGAAACCAAATTATGCTTTATATCCCATTTGGATGTGAATCAAATATTGATAACAATTTCAAAACTTATTTTTAATATGTTTGGGTAATCAATTAGATCAAAATTTTTACTTTTATTTTAAAGCCTTAAATTGTTAAGAAACTTTTAATGAGTTAGTATAATCCAAAAAATGAAAAACTGTATATGATTTATAGACATCAAATGATAGGCAAAATTTTCTCGATATATTTGAAATTTATTTTTAGCTAGTTTATGAAGAATCTTTAATATTTAATTTAACTAATGTTTTAAAAGTAAAATTATATT